TAGATGGCCCATAATTTATATTACATTTTTACCCTTTGCATAAAAAAAGTTCAAATTTATTTTTGTAAAATACATTTTCTAAAGTTAAATTTACACAAGAAAATGAAATAATTTTTAAACTTCATAAATATTTTTTGTCTAAATATTCTTTGTTTAAATAAAAAAAAACTGCCCTAATAATATATACTGAAAGGGAAAAGAAATGCACAAGAACATGATGTGGGAAAATTTTCTGACTATCTGACCGAAAATTATGAAAATTGGTCAGATGTTTATTTTGTTTATCATGCACCAAAATCACTTGTCAAAACTACTCAACCATGAAATGTATGGCATCACGTAGGGGAAATGAAAAAAGTCAAAAACACGTGCATGTTAATGATAATAGTTTTGTAATAAAATTTTGTAGTACCATACTATGCATTAGACTTATAGACATCGATTTTGCATATTTGCAGTCAGTATAAATTTCTTGCAATCGTGGTATGGCTGACGGAATCTTCTGTTGGTTTAGTAATTGAATTCAATATTGCATAAGTGAATAAAATGGCAAAAAACATGCTGATGTACAGATTGTTTTCAACTTTTCAACCAAATAAAAGTGGTTTTAGGTTGTCTGAGAGTAAATTTAAAATGTTTCCAACCAACCATGACGGTGACGTTGACGCTTACCAACGTGACAACAAGATAGGGCTTTTCATCACGCCACCTCGGTTATTGTCAAGGCATTATCACCGAAACTGATATTTATACAGCAAACAAACATACTTACTTTTTTCACCCTAAACTGACAGAAACTCTCTGCTCTTATTTGAGCCGCGAGCTTGGCCAGTTTACGTCACTCTCAAACGCGCACGTACGCGTCGTTTGCGTAATATTTTTTTAGCATGTTTACACTGGAAAAATGTAGCTAATATTTGTCGATACTTTTTTACAAACATTAACAAGTACCACTTGCTGGGTTCTGTATATTCTATCCTAAATCGAAAATTCGCGGGATTCGATTGAGCGGGGGGATTTGTTGACTTTGGAATAATACAGCCAATTTCACCCATTAGGACTACCGTCGGAAGGGTTGACTAATAATGCTATGAAAAAAATAAAATCTTGGTAACTTTTTGATTAAAGATGAATTAAAATGTATAATAGAAATGCTGGAAAACATATTTGAAATAATTGTTTTAATTTAACTCAAAAGTTTAATATGCGTTTCTTAATCCTTTCAGTATAAAAGGTCATTAGACGGTAATTATTTTCTTTCAAAAAGGAACTGTGCATAAATACATGTATATAATTATGCAATAGTGTTGATTTGGTTATTCTAATTTATTGCGAAATCAATTAAGATTTCTTGGGGGGGGGGGGGGATTCACAAATGCATCTTTAAAACCTGTTGATTTTAAAATGCATATTTCATATTCAATTGAGTCCAGGTTATGAAAACCATGGAAAAGTGTATGTAAGGATTAATATATTTATGTACCCCAATCATTCAATTTTGTTATGAATATTCAGGTCAAATTAAAGCAATTATGCAATGCAAATAAATTGATCATTCATATCTTTGTTAGGTAACTAAATGCATGTCATGTCTAATTTATCTTTAGAAATAACGAAAGATTAATTGGAAATTTTTGATAGATGTTGCTAAACAAACCATTTTAACAATAATTTTCGCAAAAATATATCTGTGTATTTGGTTCTTTGTTTTTGATTTATTATATACCGTAATAATACAAATATGATTTATTTCCAAAAAATTACACTTATTTCAAACATATTTTTTTGTGTTGAAATATCTTTTAATAACATTTTTTTTAAATGTAGAACTGTACATTGTACGCGTAGGAAGTATTCTGACAAAATATTTCCTTTCATAAAAATGATTATTCAGACACATCGGATAAACCCACTGGTTACAGTAGCCTAGTGGTAGAGCGTTCGCTTCGTGATCGGGAGGCCCGGGTTAAATTCTCGATCGCGGCGCCGCGTCATACCTAAGACGTAAACATAGGTAGTGACTGTTCCTTCGCCAAGCGCTCGGCACTGGAAGTGAAAGTCACGGGTCTTTCGGATATGACCTTAAAAACGTAGGTCCCGTGTCACGGTAGACGTTGGCACGATAAAGAACCCTCACTGCTCAATAGCCCTGAGTGCCGAGTATAGGTCTAAATTTGAAGCCCTTCACCGGCATCGGTGACGTCTCCATATGAGTGAAAAATTCTCAAGAGGGACGTTAAGCAATATAGATAGGGGATATTCAATATTTTGTAGTTGAATATGGAATTTATTTCACGAGTGGGACAGGATTTTTGATATTTTCACGAGTGCGAAGCACTGTTTATTATATTTTATTTAAAAAATTCTTTGATTTTTCCTTTGCCTCTGTCTTTTTGTAATACAGTCATAGGCTCATGACGTCATAGTTGAGCGGTTGAGACGTCATATCTAAGGGCGCTTTCCATTAAACAGGCAACGCCGGTTTTGCCGATGTTGCCGCCGACGCCGGATAATGGAACGCGCGTTGCCGGCAAGCAATTGCGGTCACGCATTTTACCATTGCCGATTCAGAAACAATATGGCGTCGTGTCATCGAGAGGAGGTCTACAGATACTACGAAACGGCGATTTCTTCCTTAGACTCTGAAAAACTACAACGTCAGTGCATAAAAATTAATAATTGAGTATACCCACCCACAAATTACAAGATAAGTATCCGTTTATAGTTAATTTTATATGATTTAATTAATTGAACTTGTAAAGTGCCACTACTCCGAATTTTCTCCACACATATAGAATAAACAGTTATTTATGTATAATGTGAAAACACTGTAAAAATGGATTTAGCAACATTTTTGTGGTATTTTTGACAGTTTTACTCGCTGTAAGAATGGTTTATTTTTTTTTCCATCTATCTTATATAAGGTCAAGGAATTTTTTTTTACAGCAATCTTCGTAATGGGAAGGGAAATCGAGAGTTTTCCCGCACTTCTGATATTCGTCACACTGTGACAGGATATCATTTTGATATCCTTTCACACTGTGACAGGATATCATTTTTATTCAATGAATAAATTACAATAATTTAATTTTGATAATATTCTAGTCTCTCATTGGTTGATTTCCAAAAAGGAACACTAGAATAAAACGTAATAACCTGGTTTGGTATGGGGACACACCCCCTTGACAACCAGCTGATTCATTTGTATCTATGCAATCCCACATTTCCAGTCCATGGAATTACATGGAAAATTCTAAATTTAATAAATGTACTTTTAACTTCAAACAGTAGCTCGCTCTTACCTCGTGTAAACAAACATCATGGCTGCTAGATCTGTTATTACGTCCCCTTAAGTTATTACGTCCCCTTGTTTCAAATCACTTCCCTTACTAGGGATGTATTATTGCGCGGCAAATTTGAACTCTTAAAAAGCAGCACAATTTTACATCCACAGTTGTTTAATTATTTAAAAATTAAATTATAAGGAATGACTCTAATTCTTGGCCAAATTATTCGATTATAACCTGGTTTGGGTCAGTTTACGCTTTTTTATAATCCGCTTCTCGGATTATAAAGCGTAAACTGACACAAACCAGGTTATCATCGAATAATTTGGCCAAGAATTAGAGTCATTCCTATAGTATTTCACGGGTAAAAATGTAATAAAATCGGATAAACCCTTTAACTAAGTATGAAGTTATTTACAAACATATCTTAAGATATTAATCACGTTTGTATTTGGGTGGAGTTATTACTTTGAACCAACAGTTATAATTAAATATTTGCATTTGCCATGTTTTCTACTTTACCAACTATGACATTTCAATCCAAATGATACTGCAGGGAAGCTAGGGCAGCGAGAAAGTAAAATATTGAGTATTTTCAATGCTTTTAACCATGTAAATATGTAAATATAAAAATGTTTAATTTAACAAAAAAAGCTTTGTGTGAGTCATTGGTGTGTACAATATGCAATTTGCTACAAAGGCATTAATTTGTTTCTTTTAAATAGTAGTTAGAATTAATTTGTTTTATATAAATTGAAAGTGTTAAGTTGTTGGAGATGAATTGTTAAATTTTTGAATTAAAAAAAATAGCTTTTAATTTCGATTGTAATAAGAAGTATTTTTTGAAACACTAGAGAGGTTAAGCATTTGAACGTGTACGTCTACTTGTACGTGTGAACTAGAAGTGATTTTACACTTACCCGTAACCAGTGTCGTGTTCTGTTTAACAAATTGAACGTGTACCGGTACGTGTAAAACGTCATTTCAGCAAGGCACTTTACAATCCTCTCGTATCAAATAAATCTATGACTTGAAATAAAAAAGATACATTGGATGTTCGTAATAAATTCTCAACTTTATATCAAATACTAACTGCAAAATATTTATTCCGTAGTTTGAGTTTAAGAAGCTACAAGTTTTCACCTACGTGTACTTGCGAGTTACACGTTGTGTACAACTTGTAGAATTACGCGGTATGCAAAACTGATGACGTAAATCGCATTAAATTAGGGGATTCCCCTAGCTACACGTACACGTAGACGTACACGGAAAATATAACAACAATACAAGAAAAAGTAATGTGCGCTTACAATAGAAAATAAGACTACTTGACTTCAAAAAAAAAATTATTAGTCGAACACATTTTCCACAAGTCTAAGTTTGTACAATATTGTTTAAATCAAAGCCTAACGAATTTATAGGAGGGACGCATTTTCCATTATTCAAATTTTTACAATTGAGAACCACCATATTCTTTCTGTGATATCAAGGTACTCTACAGAGCAACTTTTTTTCCCTTTATATTTTACAAATCGAATGGAAAATAACAATTCTGTTCCATCCTTTATTCTTAAGGATAATTTAAGCATTAAGGTATACGTTATTCTTTTCAAATATTTTTTCATGTTTAAAAACAGCTTTTAAATGATCTCATTTATCATGTAATATTATACAATACATAAGAACCAAACTGTCTGCCTGGGGCCGTTAGATTTGCCCGAGAACTCTGTCAATAAATGTTTTGTTATACCTTCCATTTTATCTATTTATTTTTTGATTAACGTGTAATTTGTACTGTATTCCGTGATGTATCATCAGGTTTATCACTGTTTAACACCAGCGGACGAAAATGAGATTAAGCTCCGCCCATTTTGTGACGTAAGCGTTCCAACATCTCTCCGAGCGGTCCAACATTTCACTCAGCGGTCCAACATCGATTTATTTATGCCCACCCAGCCATAACATTAAAAATGTTCGACTCCTTTCGTATAGAATTGTAGAGGAACAAATTTTTAAAGGTATAACAACTGTTTATATCTTCGACAAAGTCAGTTCATTGACATGTTTAGTTATCCCAAAACCAGTTTTTTATAATACTTTCAGTTTATTTAGAAGGCCAGTATGCAGTGAGGAGGTATAGGACTAACGCTATTTGGGATTACAAAAAAATCTACCAAAAATTTTTGCACGATTAATTTTTAATATTTGGCTGCTTTGATTCTTGTTATTCTCATTTTGACATCAGGTAAGTGTAAACATTTTAATTTAATATATAGAGAATCAGAATGCTGTTTTTTTTCGAAGTTATACACAACTTTTTCCCGGAATTACGTGATAGTTACAGAGCGTAGCTATCACATGTCACGTGATGCATCCGCCATTACAACCGTGAAACCCGTGAGCCGTGAAAGATGTATAAAGATAGAGGGGGGAATCGTGCGCCGTGTTTAACTGTTTTAACAACAGAAAGAAAATTTATTTGTGGAAACATTCTCTCTGCAAAGACCACGTCGGCATTCTCCACAAAGATTGTCCCTGCATTGTGCCTTACAGCCTCCACAAGATGCCGAAAGCGGAGCCAGAGAAACTTCAATGGCAACGGGCACTACACCGCAATGATTTGCCGAAGAATGTGTTCGTGTGTTCAACACATTTTATTGATGGTCGACCAACTGCAAGAAATCCCATACCCAGTCTGAATTTAGGTTTGTTTATGACTTGAAAACTCTTCATACACGATGTTTAAAAATAGATTTGACATTCAGGTAAAGTGAAAGTAAGCTTGCAACAACGCATTCACAAACAAGGCGCTACTAGGCATAAAAATGATATTATTTAATATCATGTATAGTGACATATTTCTGCTTCCAACATGGAAAAGTTATGTATACATGCAAGATAATTATGTTGACATGCAAGTTACAAATCTTTCATAGGAATCTGATTTAAATCATAGGTGCTCCCCATGTAATTCTGTAAATGACATGTAAATGTAAACATGTCTACATAATTAACTTGCATGTTGACATAGATAAGTCGCATGTTGACATAATTATCTAGCATGTTGACATACAAAAAAATGTCGCATGTCTACATAATTATGTTGTATATTGCATCTAAATTGTCAGATACAGGCGTTATTACGTAAAATTACCCATATATAAATTATATTTCTAATAAGATTGGTAAATTGCATGTCAACATAATTAATTTGCATGTTGACATACATATGTTGCATGTTAACATAATTTATCTTGCATGTAGGGGGCAGAAATATGCCACCATAATTATACCTTACTAGTAATACGTTTTGAAATAATTTGTAAATGTAAGCACAAATCATAATCTATAGTATTTAGTTTACATGCATTATTTTTTCTCTGGTTTTGTATGCACATACTTTATGTAATGGTAAGAAGGTCGTTCGATACAACCATGCCCCTTTATCTATCTGTGCTGTGATTTACAAGTTAAATGCTGCTAGATTTTGTCTATTCAATGTGCACCAAAAAATAACTAAAAGTATAAACCATTTATTTAAAAGTTTTTTGCCGGGAGGAGGGGATGAATGTTTATTTTATAAGTATCAATAATTTATAGAATTTTTTTTACAGGTTATGAAGCTCCCATAAAAGTTGGTCGTCGACTTTTGAAAAGGAAGTCTGTCACAGAACAAAATACAGATGGGTATGTTTGAATCCAAAAAATGAAACAGCAGAGATAAATATATATTTTGTTGTGCTGCCATTAAAATAATTTCAGAAAATTGATTGATTGATTGTATGTTGTTAAACGTCCCATGAGAGAATTTTTCACTCATATGGAGACGCCACCACTTGCCGGTGGAGGGCCACAAATTTTGTCCTATGCTCGGCACTCAGGGCCTTTGAGCAGTGAGGGATCTTTTTCGTGCCAGCACCTACTGCGACACGGGGCCTCGGTTTATACAGTCTTATCCGAAGGACTGGTCTCCACATCCCGCAGTGGGATTCGAACCCGTGACGTAAGGATTGACTCCTTACTTCGGGACTCTAGAGCAGACGCTCTAACCACTGCACCACACGGGCGACTATTTCAGAAAATTAGATATTATTTTGAGAGATATCTGACAGCACAGATTAGTTCCCCTCCCCACTTCCAAATTTAAATTAGTTTGTATGAAAGGTTACTGCGACACAATATAACTGAGTATCACAGGACAGTTAAATATACAATTGAAAGCAGAAAATTGTTTTGTATAATGACATAATGAATGTTTAACTTCATGTGAATAAAACCAATTTATTGTATATTCTTTTTTTTTAAGTGTTTCATTGTAAAGGGAAAATACCACTTCCGCTATCTTTTTCTGAATAGATTATATGATATGCCTACTGTTGAAACACAGGATCAATACAATTAATATATTCCTGTATCGTTACAATTTGTTTATCTATTAATAAAACTTGAAATTTATGATTTTGCCTTTATGTTTGTCAATTCTTATATTATACTGTTAATATTTTTTGCAGGACAGAAGTTATAAAGCAACAAAAACTGGCAGCTACTGCTACAGACGAAGTTGAAACCCTCACCATTCAGACTGAACCAAACATGACATCTTCTTCCATGCAGACGAGCATCACAGAGAGCAGAACTGCGGGCACACAGTGGACAGATCCCACATTGTGTGAACATGAATACGCAAGACCATTCCTTGCAGGATCTAGGAGTTCAGGTACACAAACAACAGTCATCAAGATGGAGGAAAAAGGTGTAAACTGCAGCACTCTACACGTACGTCTCAGTGCTGCTGACATAACAACTAACTCCTTAGCCTTGCTCTACACAGGACTACCTTTGAAGACTTTTAGAACTCTTTTGCGTGTTATGGAAAGTTTGGACAATCCACTGACATTTACTATGCCTGTGTCAGATCAAGTCTTACTAGTTCTTATTAAATTAAGGCTTAATCACTGTTGCAGATATTGCCAACAGATTTGGTATATCGGAGTCTCATGCGTGCAACATTTTTAATCAAAGACTCTCTTTTATGGCTTCAAAACTAAAAAACTTAATAATTTGGCTTCCACGTGAAACAATTAGGGCAACCATGCCGAAGTCATTTCGTGAGAACTTTCCCAAAACTACAGTCATCATTGATTGTGCAGAAACTTTTATTCAACGAGCAAAAAACTTGAAGACCAGAGGAGAAACATATAGTCACTACAAGTCCAACAACACAGGGAAGTATTTAGTTGGTATTGCACAACATGGTCAGATTATGTTTATTTCTAAGGGCTTTGGAGGAAGGTCTAGTGATAAAGCAATAGTGGAAGAATCTGGGATTTTAAATTACCTTCTTCCTGGGGATGAAATCATGGCTGATCGGGGTTTTACCATTGATGACCTACTCTTTCCTCTAAAAGTGAAACTTAACATTCCAGCTTTTACAAAAGGTAAACACCAACTTTCAGAAGAGGATGTTACAGAGACCAGAAGAATTGCCACGGTACGGATTCACGTGGAACGGGCTATTAGACGATTAAAGGTGTTCCGCATATTGAGTCAGATTGTTCCAGTTACCTCGGTGAAGAAACTTAGTAAATACTTGATTGTTTGTGCTGCATTGGTTAACTTAAGATCTGATCTTATCAAAGATGATGATGAGTAAATTGTGTAATCAGTTTATACCTGTCAATTTGGTTATCTTTGCATCAGCAGGTTACAACAGGGTATTATTTTATAATAACATAATGTGTTCATGTTATTAAGATATTTGTGTTAAAAAAGATACTGTGCTTGGCATAACATTATGGAGGTTTACATGAGAGTAAGTCCAAAAAGTTTTATGTCTGACAAGAAATCTAAATTCAATTAGTTTTCAATCAATAGTTTGCCATGATTTGAATATGTTAATTCAATTTTGATCACAGTCCATTTTTTTTACATGGAAAAGTAACAAATTTCTTTTGTTCATTTAAAAAAAAATACATTTGGAACTCCATTAATGTAAAGTTATGTACATTCACGTCACTTATTAAGTCTTTGCATTTTGGTCAACAAATACTGTTTAAGCTTCTTGTCAAGAAGCTTAATAGTTAGTAATTGGGTGGAGGTCAAGAAGTTCTTGACCTCCACCCATCTACTAACTATTTGAATTTACTCTTTTTTCAGACATTGAATTTTTTATGTGGCACCTAACTTTAAAAAAAATGTTTACATATTATATTTAGTAATAAATGATTACCCCAGAATGAAAAGATATTTGACTTTTATTTCAGAAACAAGTTTTATTTGCATCAGTTTGAAAATTCTTCATATTTTCTACTAATCTTCAATCTTCCAGATTCAAAGTCATCAACTACTCTGGGTAAAAGTTTGTTGAAGTAAAATAAACGTAATCTTGAAATTGATGATTGACAGAACTGTTGGTTATATTGAACATTGACAATCTTGTATTCATTAGCTGTCCATATAACAAGTTTGCACAATTCTTTATGTATAACATGCAAAGTCAATTGTATCTGAAGATAATATCCTCGTGAACTGCTCTGCTTTAGGGACAAAGAATCATTTTGCAATGATTTTACAACATCATATTTACCAGCTGTAAATAAACTGTCAAGGGTGTGGTCATTTTTTAGTATTGGGCATTTTACTTCTAAAAGACATTGTGTGCCATCGTCATCAGTTATTATTCCATCGGGGGAAACACTGAGCCAGGGCTCTTCATCTGAAACTATAGTCCCTGCATCTTCTATTTGTATTCCAGTGGAACGCAGTTGTTGTTTTGCTAGATTTTCACCAATCTGTCCATGTTTTGTGAATTTTTTTTATTGTCTTTAAAGGATGGATATAAATGCTCTCTAATGAAGTTATCACTATTTGTAGTGTCACTGATTGGAACCTTGTGAGCAGTGCTGCCTGTTATTCTAATTTTTCTACTGTTATGCCACAGTTCTGATTGACTTTGTGAAACAGTTTTATAAGATAAGGACTTGATTTGAGAATCAGTAAGTTTGATGTACTTATTATAAAACTGGCAACACTTTTTACACGTTAGTTCTGCAGAGTGTTCAGTATGAGGCTCAGATGAAGGTTTGAATTGAAGAGTATCAACTTTAGCTTGCACAGATGTATTTAAAAGAGAATTTTCTACTGAGAACAATTCCTGAAGTTCACTATTTTGTACAAAATATTTAAAGGATTGATGGGATACAAACATGGGGAATACTGATTTTGTGTTTTGTGGTTTTTCATCATTATTGTTAACTTCACTACTGTTGTATTTAGGTTTTTTAAAATCCATCTCCTCAAGAATACCAGGTTCTAGGTTTCTCGTCGAGCCCTTGTTCCATTGCATTTGTTCATCGGTACAGGATTTGCCTGTTAGCCCTGACCTCACAGCATATTCAATTTTCAATAACACAGCGCCGACATGACTGCACGTTTTACTGTTCCCTGCCATACACGAACAACCAGCACTAAAAATCGTGCCAACCTTGTCACATATAATCCATGCATTATGAAACTCTGAATTGACTTTTTGTGAGGGGCGTACTTCAGATGATTTTAAAACAACTGTTGTATTGTTAATAACAAAATGTAGAATTTTCCCCACGGAACCACTTTTAAAATAATTGAAACTGTCCAAAGATTTGTAGTTTTTCATCCCTTGGCCATCACACGCCTTACTCAATATTAAATAATTGTAAATATCGCCATACTCGACTTGGGGCCACTCCCGCATATCGTCCTTCCATTCTTGTGGTTTGACATCTTTTGGCGAGGAAATAATTCGATCCTTGCAGTTTTTACATTGATATTGATTCATATTTAAGGTAAACGAAAGAATTTACAAGATTTTCATATATTAAATGTTGTTTGTGCGCTAATATTTACGGTTGAACAGTACGTAGTTTCATCCGTGTGTTGTTGCTACGGAGTTTGTTTATGACAATAATGCAACGTCACGGATGCAATGGCGGCTGCTTTCCCTATCGGGATGAAATTTTACTAAGGGAAATAACTGAAAAAAAGTTGTGTATAATAATTACTTATTTCCTGTAAATTGGTATTAAAATAAATTGAAATAAAGTTTTAAAAATTAAAAATAGAGAGCACTTAATATTATACACCACTGAAAATATACAATACATTTTCATAAAATAAAAAAGTATTTTTTGGGGTCAATACGCGGGTAGGTTAAGGCTACAACCAAATATTCTACTTGCCTATATGATATGACGTCATAGTAAGCTATATGACGTTAAGTTTAGAGATAATAATTCCTTAAAATCGATATCTAAGATTGATTCGAGGTCGTAAAAATTAATTAAAACATTCAGAAGTATAATATAAACGGAATTTTGTCGTTTCTGAGTCTCTGTAGTTATCACAGGGATTAAATACCAAACCCGTGACATCATAACTGTTGATCATGCAGTGGCAGAGTGAAAGTGAAACGTAACGAAAATTGATGTTAACAAACACTAGTAATCGGAGATTAAAAGCATTTAGAAGGAATATCACGTGTGATTCATGTGGAAATAAAGCTTATGAATAAGATATGGTAATATAATCCTTCAATTTCTTCGTAAAATTAAAGCAGGGAGGGTGTTTTTTGCCGATCAGCCTTTCCGCTGTCGTTTGTAACGAAAAAAGATGCAAACGTTCAACACTACACTGCATACCTTGACACATAATTTTTGTTTCCATCTAAAGATCTTATTCTATTGTTTTTGGAAAGTGCTGCTAGAATCGTATGGTTTACGGGAATTGATGCATTTTTTTTTTCGATGTTATGATCAAAATGGAAACATTTTTGGAAGGTTTCGTCCGAAAATGTTTAATAATTATTTCTGTGATAGGACAGTAGGATTGTAGCAGCACTTTTCATGGTACAGAGTTGTTTTACATAACTATTTTTACAAATTAAAATTTAATATCCCCGGGGTAGTGTTAAACTTTTCACTTTTTTCATTAAGGCATATTTTTTAATTATAGACATCACGTGGTGACGTCATGGTGAAGTGCTTATTGTAGTATAAGTTCCATTGAAGTCTATAGAAAGCATATTTATAGCAAACGTTTTATCCTTTGCTTTTCCGATTTAATAGTTTTACATAATTATAAAAAAGTGTTAAATTGCCGAATTCTGATCTATGTGCTGCCTTAACATACCCGTGTAGAAGGGTGGTTTTGTCATACTAATTTTATCCGAAAAAAAAAGACCGAAAAAAACATACATACTGTATAGGTTAAGAAGAATATTTCCGCGCACTTAAAGTGACTAATACTTAATTTTTTGTAATTGCATGGAACAAAACAGTATATACAAGTTAAACGGAAAGCTAAAATTGAATTATTTATTCTCTGTGACAGTTATTTTTGGCCTGTGATAAACGTATCAGAGGTATTGTTATAATTAATAATATGTCTGATAAATTATTAACATTCATAAAAAACAATTATTTAATAATATTTCAGTAACCGACAGCACATGCGTATAGACAACACAAGCACCGACGACGCAAGCTCCAACTGCAACGACATTTATACCAGTACCTTAATTGAAACCTGGGGACAATGACATATGCATATGGTAGAATGTGTGTGTTTCTCTTTTTCATTCTTTTATGTTTTCAATTAACTTTTTTACGTACTTTTAAAAATACTTTAAATATATCTTTTAACATTGTTTAATGATCAACACTGAAATCTCTTGAGTGATTTTAAAAAATCGTTCATATCAAACAAAATTTATAAAGAAAATGTGTCATTCACTTATAGTTTACATGAATAATCTTATAGAAAATTCAAATTAATATGAAATATTAATCTGAATTTAATGTGTCATTAAAACCAATTATTATTATTTCAGAAAACCCCATTAAGGATGTCAAAGCTGATTAAGTGAAAGAAATGATATGTAAACAATAAAAAAAAAATATAAAAATGAATGAATGATCGTTTTCTTTTAAATGGTCGATAAAACAATCATTTTAGTAAACTTATGGTAGAAATATATACCTGATGCATTATGATAAAATGTACATGTAAAACGATCAGCAATATTTATTCGATTTCTTTTCTGAATTGCGAAGTTTTTATTCCTTGAACATACAATATGAACCAAACCTATCTCCCCAATGTTAAATACATGGATGCTAAATGAGCAAGATTATATATTTACGAAATTTTTTTCTTTTTAAGTAACTATCTCTTCCACATTTTCAGTGCTTTACAGTTTCTCCTCGTTACAATTATATGCCTCCCTTGACAACTGAAGAAATAATTAATTATCTTGTATGCTCAACCCTTCAACAGACAATATAAGAGTGCATTACAGTAATCGTATGCAAGTAGATCGATAGATAGTGGAGCACATAGTGTCGTATATCGTAGAGGAGCTGTTTTCAATTAGCATCAGTTTGGCTACTGCAGTACACATCTGTAGTGTCCGTTCATTGTTACTGAGGTGAGAGGATATTTTATCTACACTCAGGTCTGGATGATTGCTTTATATACAAGTTTTATAAGAAAGATGAGTCGAATATATGATATTCTCTTTAAAATAGGAACATTAAGGTTAAGGTTGAAAATATGCTGAAATGATAAACAAGGTTTAAAAACAGTCAAAATTTGAAAAAAAATGATATATACCTGTATGCAGTGAGGTGGTAAAGGACTAGCAGTGTATATTCTAGCGCTAAAATGCGAAACTCATATATTTACTTTGTTACATGAAAAATGACTTATTTGGAAGTGAAGTGAAGAATTTAACTGTATGCTATAACTGTATGTATAGAGTACATATAATTATATTGCAACCATAAATCCTCTTGGGAAAACATCTTTGTCTAGGCCTGGCAACATCGTATCTACTTATACGAAATGAAGACTGTAACCATCTGAATTTTTATCATTTCTGGACTTCTTAGGTAGGTCAAAAATTAACATGAAATTTACCAACTTTTTCCATTTCTCCTTATCCCCCACCCCTCTCAAAAAATAGAAAGAAAAATTAGAAAGAACAAGTTTAGTTTTTATTATAATTTATGTTATAGTAGATGTCCATCCCATTTCTAAGGTATTAAATATGTAAGTTGTTTAACGCTAGAATAAAAGCACTATACTTTTGTTAAATTCAAGACTTATCTTTGAAGAATATCATGTCTTTAAATTAACAGGGAATCCAGCGCAGAATGCGAGAGAGAAGAGGAATGTGAATTCGAGTGAGTACTTTTTGGTTATTGTACCTTATCATGAACCATGTTACCCTACTAGACCTACCTATACGAACTACTTTTTAGCTAAATTCTGCGGAATTATGAAAATTTATGGGGGTCAATTCTTGTGGATAGCTAAACTGTCACATATTCATGGCGAAGAAACATCGTTTATTCATTCAAACATTGTACTTATAAAGGGAAATATGGGTTTAAAATCCCATTATAATATCGTATATTAATTCGCGTGAGAAAGGTACTCACGAATTCCATGAATATTGAGTCACCACAAAATCTAATGATTCCACAGTATATCAATATCTACTCTTTTCTTCAGATTTTTAAGCATTAAAAGTATCTAATTACATCTAATGAAAATAAGAACTTCATTATTTCATAATATTTCAGAATTTCATTATCCTCTTAATCATTTCCTTGTAGGAAACTGCAAAGAAACATTTTAATATTTGCTGGTGCAATCCTAGGATTTGCAATTTTTGTAGGTCTCTCTACATATGCCGTCTACAGGCTTCGTAAATAAGTACACATCTGAGTGTGCAACTAGAAGGTAAGGTACTCTGAAATGACTGAGTTTTTTTTTAGATCTTAATTTTAACCCCCGTTTGAAAGAGAAAGGATATTTAATGGTCGGGATGCCCGTCTATACCTCTGACCGTCTGTTATCCCTTGGGGTACCGATCTTTTATCTGCAACTACTCTTATACCACTGAATTGACTTTTGTTACCTTCAAAGAATCTTAGTCACATAGTGCCTTTGTGTACCTCCTATTTATGTTTTGATTGTTCACGTATTTTGAGTTTCCCATTGCAAAGCATTGACACTACCATTCTTTTTATAATATTGAAGGCTACCCAAGTAGCTCCTCCTATACCACTGAATAAGATTTAATGATGCTTAGGGACAGATGATACAAACATTTTTTTTCTTTGGAAGAGACTTAATATCATGTCACACGTTTAGAAAAGTGGATAATTTTTAGAATTTTTTCTTCTAAGAACTGGAAAATGAAATAGACCTGGAAAACATTAGTTATATTTCAATATAATTACAAATATGGACAAAACACACTCAGAAAGGTTTACAGATGAAAACAATTTTCAGAATATGTTACCTTGGTGCTAAAAGTGTAATTTAAACTTAAGAAGAATATATCAAGCCGGGTGAATTTTATTGAGAAAAGCAAAATGGTAAAAATTAGCCTATGGTTTATTGCTGATTTTTTGTCAATTTGTATTTCGTCATGAAATTAACCTGGCTTGGTATAATTTTTTAAAAGTTTATATTACACTTTAAGCACCAAAGTAACATATTCTGAAATTTGTAATCAACTGTAAACCTTTACTGAGTGTTTTTTGTCTATATTTGGTTTTTTTAATTGAAATATTAGTAATATTCTCCAAATTTATTTAATTTTCCAGTTCTTAGTAGAAAAAATGCAAAGAATTATCCACTTTTCTAAGCTTTTAATATGATATTAAATCTATTCCAAAGAAAAAAATTGTTTGTATCATCTGTCCTTAAGCCTTCGGAAATTCTCAATGACTTACTGCCATTATTCACTTCCTACAGTTTTGATCATGCAGACACTTATTTTGGGTCTCCCATATCAAGGCATGACCGTTGCAATTATAATCATATGACGGGGGGGGGGGCGTTGCTTTCGTGGTATGTGGCGACCAAAAAATAATCGTTCTCAACACAGTTTGACATATTATTATGCATTTAACAAATACGAGTACTGTAGGTCACTTAATTTTCGCGACACCTAATTTTCGTGAGATAGTCATTGACTCTTGATTAGCGAGACAAAATATACGAATTGTGGTTATCGCTCCATATAATCTAAAGGAATGCTATTTTATGCGAGAATTAAATTTTCGCGAGCACACTGTCTCGCGTAATTACGCGAAAATAAAGTTCTCGCGAATAAAAAGTGATTTACAGTATACACACAACCTCAAAGAAAACATATCTTCTCCACAAACCACGAACGTTTAATCCCTAGATTCGAAAATGAGTCATTTTATAACACTGGTGGAATGTACAATTTTTAAAACAAAGTCAGATTTCATTGGAGATGACAATTCAAGCAGACATACCCAGATCACATCCTCTATAACAGGATTCAAAAAATGAATTCAAGGAGCTCGATAGGCATTACATTAAATTTAAATCAAAGAAAATTATAATTTACATACACTTTTAAGGTTCTTTCTCATTCTCTTGAAAACATTTCATAATGTTCAAAAAATTGTTCATTTGTTTTCTTTGTTTCAGTTGCTTAGACTGAGGTTACTCTTCTGTGAAAGAGCAGTCAAAGAATTACAACTACAATGTACCAATTTAATATTTATGTAAAGAAATAAACTGTCTCAACACCATTTTCCTTTTTCATTTGAAATGTTTGCAACAATATTGTTCCAATTTATCTTTATTTAATGAAAATATTGACTAAACTTTTTTTTACTAATAATCTGTGAAAGTAAACATTAAGTTTTACGGTGACTCATAAACATCCTTGGAAATAATACAGTATATAGTGTATACAGGGTTATTTTCGCCATGTGTTATTTTCACCCTTTCACACTTCTTAGAAAATTTTAAGCTACGTTTTAAATTCGCTCACTTAAATTCTTTATTAAGAAATCATACTGTGTTTTCAATTCCCCCGTTTCAAATTCACCCGCAAAAACAAAACGGAGACGACTACATTGTATTTCCCTTTATACCGTAGACGATGTCATCGATAAGTGATTATCAAGTTATTTGCAATTGATTACTAATATTAACTTGATATATGTATTTGTCTGGAAAAAAAATCGCAGATAGAAATGACTGAAGGAAAAAAATAATTTTTGATAAGGTTTGACAAGGAAATAGAAATGTATGATTCCTCAATCCTAAATCCTCTGACTAAATTGAATAATAAAATTAAACTAAAGATAAATTGTTATAATTATTAAATAAGTAATTATTCTATTTTATCTCATGTGTTGAATTGTACAATCAAACATAACTGTATATGTAAATAAAAAAAACTGGTTCTTTGCTGTGGAATAAGACATAAAGATCATTTTTGAAAAATAGGTCAAAGGTCAAGGTCTAGTGGACTGTAATATTTGCATTTTTCGTAATATCTAATGACAGTGACCAGTGTATATTCTTAATGGTACAAAATTTCCTCTCAATTTTTTCCCCCATAAATATATTGATTATCGGTATTATTATTAAAATTATAAAGTCATTAAACATCAAATTGAAGAGTCATGATGTCGGTTACCCTGATAAACATCGCTTTTCGTAGTTTTTAGAGAACAAATTCATTCACTTTTAAGACAAATATACATTGTGAGACAAAGCAATGCAGACCTCTTTAAACATGGGATCAGGTGCCACGAGAAGTAAGCATGCTTAAAAACGCTTATGATAATTTACTGGTGACAAATGCAATCTCCATTTTCGTATTTAAAGGATTGATTTTTCAAGGTATTTTCAAAAGAAAATTTTGATTGTATCAATTCTTCAATTTACTGGAAAATAATGGGACTCAAAGAGAAAAAAAAATAATGTTGATTTATCAAGGTAAATATTATGCCAAGTTGAAGTCTGTAAAGCTGTCGGTAAGTTTTAACAAGAATATATACATATTGTGGTAAAAGGATGCTGAACATTGTGTGCTGAGAATATGTGTTTTATGTACAAGAGATAGAACAATAACAATGGAAAATTTAAAATTAGAAAAAGTTTTTTTTTAAATATAATTGACTTATAGAAGCTTCTTCACTTAAATAGACAAATATTTACAATAAACCTGATGTGAAACAATTCACCAACACCTCCCCAACGATGAAAAAGTATTCGATACTGAAGATGCACGACTCCTGTAGTGTAAAAAGCTTTTTTGTTATGTAAGAGTTGGTTTTCTTTTATCTCTCCGTCTTTTTTAAAAGCTGTTTACATTTAAATGTACCCAATGCACTCGAGATACAAAAACCATTACACCACCCGATAAGACCAAACGCGTATGGAAAATTTATTTGTGTCGAGAATATAAGAGTTCTTATAGATTAAATACTTAGTAGTTTTTTCTTTAAACATTGAAATTTTCTCTTTGTTCAATTGAAGTCAAACAATATAATAGATGAACAATTTCATCATTCAGAATACTAGTAATTAAACATTGCAATATTGCCGAGGTACCCTCTATATCCTGGTTTAATAATAATTGTTGACCACCAACTTTCACCTCCCTCTTTTTTTCATTGCCACCTACATGGATATATGTAATTAATATTTCTTCTCCCCCCTTTTTTACAGTACATAGCTGGTAGATCTTTCCTATTTTTTTTTTCAATGAACTAATTCTATTTATCTCTTGAATTAAATTTTTTCACAGCATTTTTAGATCTTAGCAGTGCAATGGGTGTACTATTTAGTTTTTAGATATCCAAAAGCAGGAGTATGCTGTGTAGAAATTCTCAAGGAACGTATACATGTAATTAGGATCTTCCAAATTTCAAATGTAACACGTACCTTTGTGTCGTTTATAAATGATATATTTATAGCTCGAGTCATTCTTAATTTAGTTTTTTGACAGCAAAATATCAGGGCGACGAAAAACAATCTGTTTAAAATTTTCATTCTTCTCATGCATGATTTTAAGAATAGAATATAATTCTTTGATAATGATCCAGAAGCTTTCTTGAATACATGTAGACACGATAAAACTTTGATTTAGGAATATCTTCTGAGGATTTTTCTACATGATGTTAATAAAATGTGTTTTATACTATACAATAATCCTTGGTTCACAATGTATACTATTTACGGGTACACGTACATGTGCATACATTGTGATTTATATTTAGTAAAGGGCATTTCCAATTGCATGTGCATAGCAAGAGGATTGATTTTATGTGTAATATTTTCCCGTATATTTTCAAAAGAAAATACTTTTTAACTCTATTTATTCTTTTAACAAGCATAAAATACATTGATGAACATCCAGAGGGCTTTCTGCTTGATCTTTTTAGATCTTGTTCTACAGACTGTCAAGCTGGCGGTAAGTATCAACAATAATAATTATTTGCTCTGAATTACAGACTGCTAACAATGATTTATTTTCCTTTAAAAATAATTTAGCTTTTGATTCACCAAAGTAATTTAAAAGTTCTATGAAAACGGATATCTGATACTTATACCATCGTAAGAGCATGATGAAGTGAAGTGTTTATTGACATGACACATGTTATACATTGTATTTCTTGTATTGCATGTACAATGTGCATGTTATATACTTCTATTTCATTTTGGAATTTTCATGTTTGTTGAGATAAACCGTGGTATTACTTTTTTAAAAGAATAGCTATTTTTTCATTGCTTTGAAAAAGTATTATAACGTTATCTGGAATGATGTTAATCATAAAGTGTTTGAGTAGACAAAGAATATCGACATGCCTCTTTAAACTTCATTCTGAATGTACACACATCAACTAAAGCTATCCTATTTTTTTGATTTTTATTATTTAATTATTATGGGGGGCATTTCATGCATTTAAAGATTAATACTGTATCGTGGTAACTTTATACTTAATTTATCCAAGATAGCAACGTGCGTATTTAAATGCTTCTATATCTGGAAGAGGGTATTCCCGAGTATAACTTTAATTTAAAACTCGTCTTTAGCAGCAAGGATTAATTGTACAGGTTGGATGAGTCAATGCATACAGTGTAATTTGCTAGACGTAATGGTTGATTTTGGTTATTCTTTTGATTATGATTCACATGTGTAATACGTATAACTTAAAAGTATCATTTATCTCTGAGATTTTTTCTTTAAAAGTCTTCTAAACAGAGGATACCGTTCCCTCAAATGAGAATAAATAAACGGAGGACCCTTGTCCTAGTAGGTGTTGACACTAAAAAGATCCATCACTCCTCAAAATCCGTGCTTAGCATAGGACAAAATTTGCAGCTCCCCACTCCGAAGTTGTGGCGTCTCCGGGAGATATGAATGAAATACTCTCCCGAGAGACGTTTAACAACAATTAAATAAACATTACAAAAATAATTTTCAAAATCATAAATTCTATTGTATATTTAAATGGGATATGAAATTTAGAAATTTGAAAAAAAAAATTTAAATCCGTATATCCATTTTTTTTAAAATCTAGTTTTAAGGTTCCCATTTCATTTCAATACATGTATATTCATGTACGAGGGTTGTCCGTAAAGTTCGTGGACAACATTGATAATTACTGACAAACATTGATAAAATTTATGAAACTATCATTTTCGTTAAATTCATGTTTCATTTTATTGACAAGCAAGTTTTCAACAAAAACAAAGCACAAATAGTTATATTTTTATTAGATAAAAAAAAGATATACACTCATACCTTGAGCACTAAAATGAAAATTCTTGCCGTTACCCGACGTCAAAAGCATAACGAGCACATGTAACTTTTCCCAATATTGTCACGGTTTAACTCAATGGATTTCTTATGTCGCTTTAACCACTCATAAATATGTGCACAAAATGTTCAGGTTTCACACGTAAAATAATATTTAACAATGCCTGTCTCATATCCTGTAATTATCCAACCTCTGTCCGCGTAAAAACGATTTTATTTAGGGAAATACGGTTAAGTCACGTTATAAAAGTCACTGCAATCTCGGAATGATGGTTTTCCTTCACGCATGTAATCCAATAAACTGTTTCTTCCGTCCGAAAATATTATATGCCACTTAAGTATTAATATACGGCTTCTTTTACTGTTTTCCCGATTGTTTACAAAATGAATTGGTCTTTGTAGGTGTTTATCCGATGTCTACGCAGAATTTTTTTTGCTGCTCACTGCTACACCTATTCCGAAAACGTTCCCTTTTTGGAACATTTCCGATTTGTCTTAATAAGTTCTAACTTTGACTGCTCAGCCATTTTACGACTTTGAACGTTCAAATTTGCATGTTTGACGTGATAGCTTCTGTCAGTCTAATAATGTAAAAGTCATCCAGATTTCCGAAGAATTTGATAAAATACAAATGAAATTTATAAAGTGAAACATCATTTTTAATTAAAGTTTTGCGGTGCTCCGGGTCTCCATTCCAAGTCTAATTATGAAGCCATAATTGAAGATAAACATTTGAAATTGAATAAGATATTACATTTTTCAAATCACATTTAGTAAAAGATTAGAAATATGCTAATATTAAATATCAATGACGCAACTTTTTTTTAATTCTTAGCTTGTCCACGAACTTTACGGACAACCCTCTTCTACAAAGTACAGTTGCAATGTTATTGACCTATGCACATATTCTTTACAGGAATTTAAAAATATACTCCATCTAAGCTATTGGTTCACATTTTCCTTTTTAACATTTATAGTATTACACATTTCTTTAATTGATTTTAATACAAACACTTTGATTTAAAATGATAAATAAAACAAATTATATTTGTTACATTTTAGACGATGGCGTTCCAGAATTGTCCCGCTTCGAAGTTGACAATTTCCTACACCAAATGTCCAAGCACGCATGAGGAGTGGATGTTTGCAGTCAGACGAAAAAATTGCTCAAGCATTTCTCAAAACTGTACTAGTCCAGAAAATTTCAGATATCATTGTGTTTCAAACGCCTTTATGAATGAAACTATTGAAGTGTGTGCTCCTGGATTATTTCTTTTAGGTAGCTATTTTTTAATAGAAAAGAAAAGCATGAATGAATGAGTTTTTCATTTTTTGCATATAATTAGGTTAACGTTTAACATGTATATCATCAACAAGCACACGGTAGAGAATGCTTACTCCTCACCTGATCCCACTGATGTTTTGGAGGTCCCTATATGCTCTTCGCCAAATATGTATTGTTTTATTAAACTTTGAGCTCCAATGTTGTTAGCATCATATCTTAACGTTTTTTTTTAAGTAATATTTTCATTGTTTTTTCTCCAGGATTTTGTCCAGAATATAACTTCCGCGGAGAACGAATACAAGATAACTATAACGCTGACTGTAAACAATTTGCAAAACCTTGCCCAAACAGATACGAATCTTGGAAGTCCTACAAATGTAATTCATTTAAAACATGTATGCAATAATGTAATGCTTTGTTAAATCGAATGTTATAATCAATAAACATTCATTTCTGCTAATTATAAAAAAAATTATGCTTCTTATGCAATTTCTTTGTAATAAATTACAAAGTATATTTTATTCATTTCAAGTTTCAGAATGTCTTAATTTGAAGAACGCTTTTCACAGCAAAATATCTGCATTATCGAACAAAACTTCAGTTTTTGGTTCTGTCAGGAAAAAAATTAATAGTCACGAATCGTGAGTGTTACTGATTTTATTCGTAATAATCATATATTTTCTTCTATTGATTGATATTTTATTTCACGATGTTATGAATTCATATATTTATACATTTTTTTTATATGATACATAGATTTTGTTGCAGTGATGACAACTCTACAGTCTTGATAACATGCCTGGTTGGTTTACTCACAGTACTTATAGTTTCAGCTTTTATATTCGTTTGTATCTATAGAAGAAAACGAAGAAAGCCAGGTACTCTTTTTAGCGTCTGGATTTTTTAAAAATACATTTTTTCAGTATACGTTCATGTTTTTTTTTTCAATGTTTTTAGTTCTTTTAAATGACTAAATAATGTCTTTATTTTATAGAAATAAATTTCCACGAGGAAGAGGGGGTACTTTGTCAAGTCGGACCTAAAGAGAATGCTTCTTAATTACAGACTTTAGCTGAGATTGGAAATTGTTAAACTTTCATTGAAAAGGCATCTTATCTAATTTCATAATATCAGTATTGATGACAAAAAAATTAAAGAACCTATTTTATGGACAATTAATATTTTAAAAGACGTGAACCACATTTTTGATAAAGAACATTTATGTCTTATTATTCCATATTTGCGATAAAGTAAAATTTTGCAATTGAAATATTGTTTATTTTTTTCAAATGTATACAAATAAATTTTTATATGTTGTGAAAAAATAAAAGATTTTCTCATACCTTTATAGTTATAGAATTGAATTGAACTTACTATGATCCATAGAGGGTATGCCCTTGCAAGTTAGATCGATTTAATAAGACTCACATTACCCTCCGATGTGCTTGCATACAAATATACGGCAGTGTCAATTAAATACGTATTGTACAGAAATATGTTTATGAAATAGTGAAGATGACATTAAATTCAAGTTAACAGACTATAGAATATCTGTGAATTATATTTTATTTCTAAATTATATATAATACATTTTTTGCTGAGAAAATATTACTTGAAATGTCTATCACTTCATGCAAGCTACGTCACGTTTTCAGAAATTACGTCACATTGACTTTTAGTGTATTGCAATCCGTGACTTGTTTATAACTTGTTATGTGGTATTTAACTAACGACGAAACAGCGAGCTGTAGTAAGTTTTTATGTAGTTTGATGATTTCTTACTGGTTAAATTAGCAAATCAACGCATTTTGTGGTAGTTAAAAGAAATATTGTACGACGTATATTTTGTATGATATCATACTTACGTTTTCCTGTACAAATTAGGCTCCGCCTCCTTTGTAACCTTAACTGTGCTGCATGCTCAAACCACTGTGCCAACGCGCGACTTTACAGGGGGATGGGGATTGAATATTAAACGACCTTATGATGCTTCAATACCGATATAACAAATTGCTTCGCTGTTCTTGAGCAGAAGATGTTTTCTATTTAACAAGTCCTACCATGTGGGGGGGGGGGGGGGGGTAGGGGGGGGGGGGGGGGGCTCATTTGAATTAATTTGATAATACACTATCTGAGAATGTCTTTATACCAATATGACAAATCAATTTTTTCTGTTCTTGAGAAAAAGATTTTGTTCCTGTACATTCTTATATGTAAAAGTTTGGTCTCCAATACGCCAGTTTCGAGTTTGTAACTCTCCTGTGATAGAGGTGCAAAAAGTATGCATTTCAGCAAGGAGGTGGGACAGTTTGTTTATGCATACAAACGTACATAAATAAATGAACGATGTTTATAGCTTTTAAAATTTATTTAATGTTTTAGAAAGATAAAAATGTTGAGCAGTGATGTCTACTTTAAATTACAGGGTACTTAAAAACGAAATAAACGTCGTATAGTCTTTATAAAAAGTAAGATTTTCTTAATTGTACAAACATTCTCTAAAAAGTTAGTGGATTTCTTTACGTAAAAATGAGGGGGAAAATCAATGTGTCATTTAGATTGCCGACATTTAATGATCAGATTCATGTTTACCGTATTTATTAGAGGTCCATATATCTCTTCCCTCGTCTGAAAAGTCTCGCATCCACTGAATTTTCTGTTTTGTTCCGATTTTTTGCTTTAAAAAATGACACCTTTACTTTAATTCGGTTATTCTCTAGTTGAACAGTGCATCCTTTTCAATATATAGTTACGATAAACCAGTATATCGATGCTGCGATATATCCAATAGTAAATATTTGTCCCACCTGTTTGTTTACGCGGTAACCAAACTCCCCTCCTCAACGAAAGAGCGCGCCAAGGGAGATAATCTCGAAACTTGCGTATTGTTGACCACCCTCCTGGGATCATGACTTGAACAAACTAGAATCTACACCGCCTGAGGACGCTTCAATATAGATATGACTAGTCATGGCTTTGTTATTCTGGAGAATTAGACTTTTAACGACATTCTCCTATAAAGCAGAACACGGTTATACCGATCGAAGTCAGTGGAACCTATGAAATGACTGTGTACGAAATTCATTAAATTTATGTAGTTTGGAATCGGAGATGACTTTGTTTTATCCTTGAAAATTCAATTTGCAATATCCGTTTTCGTAAAAAACGAGAACAAACTTCTCTATGTAAATCTTTGACACCCCGTCCCACTCCTTGGGTCATGATTTGACCAAAATTGAGTTAACTGAACCTGAGGATGTTTCCATTAGAATATTAACAGTCATGGCTTTGCTGTTCTTAAGAAAATGAGCGAGTTTAAAAGAATTTTCCTATATATTTCTACTATGTATGTAAATGATCCCTCATTCTGGCCCATCATACCCAAAGGGGTCATTATTTGATCAAACTTGAATCTACACTACTTGAGATCGCTCCCAAATACTAGTAAGTTTCATCTTTCCTTGCCCAGTTGTTCTTGAGAAGAAGATTTTAAAAGATGCAATTTTTTCACTATTTCCTAATTATCTCCCCTTAAACTTCCCAACATCCTTTTCACCCAAGAATACTTTGTGCCAAGTTTGGTTGAAATTGGCCCAGCAGTTCTTGGGAAGAAGATGAAAATGTGAAAAATTTACGACAACAACAACGAGGCTAACAACGACGACAGACAACAGACAATTTTTTTTACAAAAGCTTACTTGAGCCTTTGATAAATCGTGACTTTGCTTTGTCTGAAAGAATAGTTACTTTTATCATAAATGGATCAAATGTTATAATATAGCATGTAGTGTTTGATCACACAATAAAAAATATCAGTATTCCTTTTTGTTAAATTTACGTACATTGTGTAAATTATACACACTTACCTTAAAATGACCTCTTAAGCTTTTATTATACTGTATTACTGGGACATTCCAAGCACTATAAGTTTTATACTGTGCCACTTGCCTTGCTTATAGAATTACACTAAATCTATTCTATAGAGAAACATGCGTATTAAAATGCATACATATATGAAAGAGGTCTAGATATTTTTGAGTCAACATTATTAAAACTTTTGTTGCATCGTTTACTTTAACAGGTTGGATAAGAGATACATGTGTGCATAAATGTCGCTGGAAGAATTGATTGATAATTCTATAAACGTGTTTTAAGCAAAGAAAAGTCTCATGTATCTCTGATAACTTTATTTTTATCTCAAATTACATTTAGATGGTGGTGATTGATCTTTCGGATGAAAGTGCATAAACCGAGGTCCTATGTCAAAAAAGGTGTTGGTGCTACAACGATTCCTCCCTGTCAGTGGTCCTGAGTAAACTTTTAGCAGATCATAACATTTGCTGCACCCTATGATCAAATACATGTAATAGCGGCGTCTCCATATAACTGAAATATTCTCGTGGGGGAATTTAAGCATAAAAGATTTAATGAATACTAGTTTATTTTATCTAATATCATTTATCATATTATACACATGAAATTAAATGATACATGAACAATCTTTTTTGGATTTATCTTTTTATTCTTTTATTTAAATCCATTTTTAAGCGACCTATTTAGATTAAAAATTCAATTTGACATTTCAGTATCCTATTACGTTTGCGAATACTCTATAATTAATCAATAATCTTCGAAGGGAATGGTTTGTATTTTCTATCATTACAACTATAGGTAAGCAAACTTCTTTAATTTTATATTACTTGATTCGAAAAATAATACGCCAGAGTAAAATATACAAAACAAGAAACATTTGCAATATTAAAGAACATGGCGTTCAAACCCTGTTCCGCTTAAAAATTGCCAGTTTCATGCATGAATACAAAATGTCCAGGCACGAATTGCGAATGAGGATTGGATAGTTGCAGCAAGGGGAAAAATTCTCAAGCAAATTCCAAAACTGTAATAGTAGAGAGTACACTTATACATGCATTAAGAAGGAGATGTGCTTTTATGAATTAAGGAGGCTGGGGGGTCAACAATTTAACTACAAATTAACCACCAGATTTAACTATTTTTTTAAGTACGGTATCTTAAGCTGTCAACATTCATTTGGCAAAGAAAAAATTCAAACATTTTAGTTTTAAATTTTGATCATTTTTGTACATCTTTATATGGAGCTCTCCTTTTAAAGGAGGTAGAAAAAGTCTGAAAATGGCTGCCACCCCCAGCCTCGTTAATTACTGGTTTTGATTTCAAGATTTGTTTGCATAATTTCGTGAACACTATTCATAAAGGAATCTATGGCGGTTGAGATCGATCGGGAGAGGTGCTCACTCCTCCATGGCTACTGATCCCATCTCTGACATTTTGAAGAGGTCACTGGTTGCTTCACTCCCAGATTGTATTTATAGATCTGACTTCGATCAAATGTTTGTTATCAAAATATTTTAACTCTTAATTTTGTCAGGATTTTGTCAGGAATAGATGTACACGAATACGAGATAACTATGACCATAAGTGTAAACAATTTTCAGAGATTTGCCAAAACAGTTATCAATTGCAATCTTGGAAGTCCTATAAATGTAATATTTTTATGAGTATGTAATGACAAACGTTATATTATTTTTTAATAAAAATAAACATTCATTTCTGCAAAAAAGAATTATAAATGCAAGATATAAAATTTTCAAATGTGAATGCTTGTTATATATTTCATTTTTTTTTTTTTACATATGAAGACATATATGTGATGTAATGTACAAGCTTTCCTGCCTGACCCACTTGTTCTTGAGAAGATGTTTCCTATATATCTCTGTATGAAATTTGAATTCTCTATTGTGGCCCCGCCCTACAACTGGGGGTCATGATTTTAACCATTTACAATCTTCACTTCCACAGGATGCCTTCAGATAAGTGTCAGCTTTTATGGCCTAGTCGTTATTGAGAAGAAGATTTTTCCTATATATTTCTTTGTAAAACTTGGATTCCCTATTGAGATCACGAACTACCCCGAGGGTCAATGGTTTAACAATTTAGAATCTACATTACCCCAGTATGCTTTTATATAAGTTACAGCCATTCTGTCTTCCTGATTCTTGAAAAGAAGATTTTAAAGATTTTTCCATTATATTTCTAAGTAAAACTTGGATTCCCTATTGTGGCCCAGCTCTACCCCCGGGAGTCATGATTTAAATAGTTTAAAATCTACTGTTCCCAAGCTAAGGATGCTTGCACATAAGCGTCTGCTATCATGGCCCACTGATTCTTGAGGAGAAGATTTTAAAGATT